TGTTTTTATGGCTATTTTTGAGCGATAAAACCACCTGTAGTTTAATAAAATGTAAAGTACAGCTGTTTAATGTCACACTTCGGAATATTAAAGACATCTCCATGGAAACAAGCACTTGACGGACGCAATAAAAACGTTAAACTGGAGTCAGAAATGAGCGTTATGAGAGCAGTGATGTTTCGGGTTCAATAGTTGGACCAAATTCGTCATAAAATTGGGAAATCGGGGTCAAATAGTGAATCATAAAGGGTTTATGAAGTGATGCGAAGAGAAATGTCGCCCTCTTGTGGTCAAAAAAATCATAACAACATAACATGTGGACTGAAAATATGTCAACATAACAAGAATTTAAACTAAAAAAAAAAAAAGAAAGCAAATCATAAGATTTGTATCATAAGAAGAAGGAAGAAGGAGAAAGAAGCAAAAGGCGACCAAAAAGAAGGGGAAAGGAAGACAATGACAGGAGAAAAAACGAAAAAGAAGACGGAGAAAAAACGAAAAATTAGACAAAAAAAGGAGAAAGAAGAAAAAAGACGACAACAAAAGAGGAAGAAAGAAGATGAAGGAGAAAGAAGACTAAGAAAGAAGGTGAAAAAAGGAGAAAAAGAAGACAAAGGAGAAAGAAGAAGTTAATGAAGAAGAAAGAAGAAAAGGTCAGAAGAAAAAGAAAATGAAGAAGAAAGAAAGAAGGAGAAACAAGGAAAAAAGATGAAAAAGAAGGAGAAAGAAGACGGAGAAAGATTTATGATATTTGATAGATTTTGACCAGAAGAAGAAGAAGAAGAAGAAGAGAAAGAAGAAAGAAAAAGAATAATAAGAAAAAAGAATTCAAAGAAGACGAAGAAGCAATATTTCTAGACAATAAAAAAGACAAAAAAAAAAAAAAAAAAAAGAGCTATTAAAAGAACTAAATATCTACAGGAAATATCTATAATTTAACAGTATTATTTTCCCCTGTGTTTTATTTCAGTTTGTTGAAGTGTATTTGTGTTCTTTCCTCTTGTGTACTTGGTTTTTGTATGTCACCCTGTGTATCTTGTTTATTGTTGCGACTTTTTTATTTATTTTTTTTACTTTTTTTTGTACCCTGCATTGGTGTCTTTGTATTTGATTATGTTGAATTAAAAAAAAAAAAAAAAAAAAAAAGGAAGAAGTTCTAAGTTGAGTCTAATTTGAAGTCCCATTTTCGTGGTCTTTGTCTCCCTCTAGTGGCCAGGATCATCACGGCATTAATTACACGAGCACACGGACTGTTGCGTCACGCGGCGTGGCTCTGTCTATTTTTATCCATTTTGTTGTTTTTAGTTGCCTGCGATTGCCACATCTCCACATGTCCTCGTGCAAATCTCTATTTTTAGATAATCGGGTCTAAAGAAAGAAGAAGGACGTGTCAGAACCAGTCCGACATTGATCTGAAAGAGACTAAAACAACAAAGAAATCATCATCTGCGTAACTTATTTTGGTCATAGGTAAAGTTTAGAGTTTAGTAGAAAATATGACTTGTGATTGTACTGACCAAAAAGCAAAAATAAGTTTTAAAAAAAAAGTCGAGACAAAACAATAACGAGGAGCGGTCGTGTGTGGGGGCTGGAGATCTGAGGAAAATATGTGTTTCGAGCTGTTTTTTTAAGTTTAAAGGCTCGGTTCCCCAAGATCCGGTGCTTTGATTTAGCGGTGGGAGGGTCGTTCTGTCCCACTGTTGCAAAAAAATAAAAAAAAAAAAATGTACACACAATAAATATTATTGTATGATATTCACAAGTAAACCACGACTCTGAACTACACACATGAACAGGGGGGAGTTTTTCTTCTTCCCTTCAGGCCCTGCCGTGGGCTCCGAGCCTCCGGTCTGGTCCTAGTCTCAGTCCCGGTCTCAGTTCTGATCTCAGTCTTGGTCTGGTCCCGGCCTGGTCCCGGTCCCGGTTCCCGGTCTCGGTCCCGGTCTCGGTCCCGGTCTCGGTCCCGGTCTCAGGCCCGGTCTCAGTCCCGGTCTCAGGCCCGGTCTCAGGCCCAGTCTCAGGCCCGGTCCTCAGGCCCGGTCTCAATCCCAGTCTTGTCTCGGTCCCGGTCTCGATCCCGGTCTCGATCCCGGTCTCGATCTGGCCCCAGTCTCAGTCCCGGTCTCAGTCCCGGTCTCAGGCCCGGGTCTCAGGCCCGGTCTCAGGCCCGGTCCCAGTCTGGTCCAGTCTGGTCCCAGTCTGGTCCCAGTCTGGGTCTCGGTCTCGATCCCGGTCTCCGGTCTCGATCCCGGTCCCGGTCCCCCGGTCTCGATCCCGGGGTCTCGATCCCGGTCTCGATCCCGGTCTCAGTCCGGTCTCAGTCCCGGTCTCAGTCCCGGTCTCAGTCCCAGGTCTCAGGCCCAGTCTCAGGCCCAGTCTTGTCTCAGGTCCCGGTCTCTGTCCCAGTCTTGTCCCAGTCCCGGTCTCAGTCTGGTCTCAGTCTCGTCTGGTCCCGGTCTGGTCCCGGTCTCAGTCTCGGTCTGGTCTCAGTCTCGGTCTGGTCCCGGTCTGGTCCTGGTCTCAGTCTCGGTCTGGTCTCAGTCTCGGTCTGGTCTCAGTCTCGGTCTGGTCTCAGTCTCGGTCTGGTCTCAGTCTCGGTCTGGTCTCAGTCCCGCTCTGGTCCCGGACCTGGATCAGTCCTGGTTCAGTCCGTATGCAGACACAGAAGTCACGTAAACGGGAAACGGCCGTTATCCATTTTTTCCATTTAAACACAAAATCGAAAACTGAAAAAACGAATCATTATCTGTTTTTTCATTTTGGTTTTGGAGACAAACAATGAAGAAAACTGTTGTTTTTTCGTTTTCTTAATTTTGGTTTTATATTGAAAAACGAATGAACGAATGACACACAGCGGAGACGGCGCCGAGCGACCTGCGCCACGATCTGCCAACGGATCGTGGACGTCTGTATCATCTGTGGTCCGAGCTTTCAGCAAGACCAGAATCATCACTGAACTGAACTGCAGGGAACAGTAACCACACTGACTCGGATAACGACCAGAGGGATGCGGACGTGATGGACGCCGGAATCGCCAAACTGTTTGACTCGGACACTGAAGATAAAGACTTTGACGGATTTGTGGACGAGGAATGAACTGAAAAAGTGAGTGTAATGTGTTAATTTTAGTTAAACTGAACAATTATGAGTTACTGTGAATACAAGAACAATTTAGTTGTGAGGCCAGAATTGGAAACTGAACCGTGAAATTTATATATTAGGGATTATGTTCAAATCTCGTCTCGTGGAAATTCTGTCTCTTCCCAACCCCTAAATTAACTCATGCTTTAAAGTTTTTTTTAGTCTTATTCCTAAAACAGACAAACATCTTTGCTTCACAATAGTTCTTATTTCACTAGATTTAAACTGAAGAAAACCTCTTAATTTAAAGTGACTAATTCTTAAATAAATGTCCAAAACAAACATGTTGACGCTGACAAATGTACTCAGGCCTATTTTAGAAGAAATACATGACATTTAGATCTAGAGTCTTGTTCCGCTGTTGTGACACTTTTACCAATCAGAATAACAATCCAATCATTGCTCCTGATCGATCCCAGACAACAATTTAGCGTCTCAGACAGTATTTTTTTACGAGTTACAATTGAACAAAGTTGAGAGTTACTGTTAACGGTTATGTTTCGTTTAATGCGCCTTATCATCCGAAACGGTTTATATGTGAAAAAAGTTCAAAAATAGACCATTCAATGACTTATAAATCCGTGTATCATTCGTTCATTCGTTTTTCAATATAAAAACAAATATAAGAAAACGAAAAAACAACAGTTTTCTTCGTTATTTGTCTCCAAAACCAAAATGAAAAAACGGATAATGATTAGTTTTTTCAGTTTTCGATTTTGTGTTTAAATGAGGAATGGAAAAAATGGATAACGGCCGTTTCCCGTTTACGTGACTTCCGTGACTGCGATGCTGGACTTTTGCACCGCATACGGAGTGAACCAGGACTGATCCAGGTCCGAGACCAGAGCGGGATCAGAGCGGAACTGAGACCGAGACCAGCGGTCCGAGCGGTTCCGTGTCATCGTCTGCGCGCTGGTTCCGTGCGGGGAAAGTGAGAATGTTCTGTGGACTACAAGTCCGGACGGGCTGCTCCAGAACCGCGGCTGGTTCCCAGGTGGTGCAAAGCATCCAACTGACGCTTTCACACCAACGAAAATGAACCGAACTAAGAGCTTTTGGTTCAAATGGACCAGGTCCGGGATCAGACCGGGACCAGAGCGGGCCTGAGACCGAGACCGAGACAAGACCGAGACAAGACCGAGACCAGATCGGAGGCTCAGAGCCCAGGGCAGGGCCGGAGCTCGAAGCTGAGGCTCGGACCCCGCGGAGGCTCAGAGTCAAAGCTTGGAGTTCGCCCCAGTCCCGCTCTGGTCCTGGTCTGGTCCCGCTCTGGTCCCGCACTGGTCCCGCTCTAGTCCCGGTCTGGTCCCGGTCTGGTCCCGGACCTGGATCAGTCCTGGTTCAGTCCGTACCCGGTGCAAAAGTTCGGCATCGCAGTCACGGAAGTCACGTAAACGGGAAACGGCCGTTATCCGTTTTTTTCCATTCTTCATTTAAACACAAAATCGAAAACTGAAAAAACAAATCGTTATCCGTTTTTTCATTTTGGTTTTGGAGACAAATAGCGAAGAAAACTGTTGTTTTTTCGTTTTCTTATTTTTGGTTTTATATTGAAAAACGAATGAACGAATGATACACGGATTCTTATAATCCAGTGCGCTCTATAGTGCAGAAAATACGGTATTATATTCTATTCACAAGTAAACCATGACTATGAACTAAACACATGAACAAATATTTTTTTAAATTTTTGAAACTATGTAATGAACAGGGGTGAGTTTTTCTTCTTTCTGCTCCTTTTCGAGAAATGTGCTTTTCTGTTGTTTACAATGTTTATGTAGTGTGTTTATGATGATTGTTTCTCTCTTAGCACAAACTCACATTAAAATATCCAGAACAATAATTATCTTTGTACTTACGGAGACGCTCCAGACCTGCAGCCCGTCGGTGTATCCGATCATGAGGCACAGAGGAGGTTCTGTGGTCCCGCTGTGCATCTCCATGAACTCAGGGTTACGCGCCGTGTCTGTGAGAGGGAGAGGACCGTTTAATGACTGGTAATGAGGCTCTGCAATTAATCTTTGTGTCACATGATCTCCAAACTCTTATAACAGAGTTGAAACAATTTTAAAGCTTAACAAAGTTTATTCTAGTATATTTATTTCATTTTTTTTAAAGATAAAGATTGTAGAACAGCTGGATATATAGTTTATTTTGGATACATTTATTATACATTTTATTATTATTGTTTTATTTATTTATTCTATTAGTGTCCGATTAAAACATAATTCTGCAGATTTTTTTGTTTTTGTTTGTTTTGTTGTTTTGTTTGTAAAATGTGCTATACAAATAAAGTTGGACTGGACTGGATTATGTTTTTCTATGCATTATTTCATGTTCAAAGTTTATTTTATTCACTTTATGTTTTATACTTCACAAAACTGCTCTAAGGTTCATGTTTGTAGCTGATTTTTATTTTCAATTTGGAAGTTTTTCACAAATTATCAATAGCAAAGAGGTTTTTTTTAAGAGAAAGAAATGCTGAATAAACGCATCGTGTAACAAAAAAATTATAATTTGAATAATCGTGATTTCAATATTTACCAAAATAATCGTCCTGTTAAATCCTGTTTTAGACCTGGTTTAGACCTGGTTTTAGACCTGGTTTAGTCCTGGTTTAGACCTGGTTTAGACCTGGTTTTAGACCTGGTTTAGACCTCATTTTAGACCTCGTTTTAGACCTGTTTTAGATCTGGTTTTAGACCTGGTTTTAGACCTCGTTTAGTCCTGGTTTAGTCCTGGTTTAGTCCTGGTTTAGTCCTGGTTTAGTCCTGGTTTAGTCCTGGTTTAGTCCTGTTAAATCCTGTTTTAGAACTGGTTTTAGACTTAGGTTTAGACCTCGTTTTAGACCTTGTTTAAGACCTGGTTTAAGACCTGGTTTTAGACCTGGTTTTTGACCTGTTTTTTGACCTGTTTTAGAACTGGTCTAGAACTGGTTTAGACCTGGTTTAGATGTGGTTTAGACCTCATTTTAGAGCTGGTTTTAGACCGGTTTTAGACCTGGTTTTAGACCTGGTTTAGAACTGGTTTAGACCTGGTTTAAATCTGGTTTAGACCTCATTTTAGACCTGGTTTTAGAACTGTTTTAGACCTGGTTTAGACCTCGTTTTAGATCTCGTTTTAGACCTGTTTTACACCTGGTTTTAGACCTGGTTTTAGACCTGGTTTTAGACCTGGTTTAGTGTCCGGCAATGAGTGGAATTACCAGAAAAAAAAAAAAAGAAAAAAAAAAAGGGATATAGCCCCAAATGTAAAAACAGGAAAATACCGCTATGTAATCCATTTATTTCAACAAAGTAACTGTAATCCAATTACCACTCACTGTAACAGTAACTGAATACAATTACTCATAATTTGTACTCTGATTACATAACTCCGGTACATGTAATCTGTTACTCCCCAACACTGCGCGTCTGTGAGTAATGACCGTGCTGCAGGATGAATTCTCACGATTTTTGTGAGTTCATAAGAATCCTGGTCATGGTCACATTTTTATTTAGCGCTTTTTTGTGGATTCAAACCTCCAACCTTCAGATCAGTGGACAAACACTCTACCAACTGAAGCATTTGTTTGTGATTGGTCCAAACTGACCAATCCCAGGGCAGCTCTGCGGTTTGGGTTGAAGCCAGCGCCGAATAAACCAAAATGAACGAATGAATGAAGTTTATTTTTGGTGGTTCTCATTTTGCCAAACAATAAATTTTCTTTTTGTAATGGTTACAACCTAAAAAAGGACTGGACTGAAGTAAACCCAACTTCACCACGACATGATAACTCAGCAAAATACAACAATATACAACATAAGAATAACAATTTACTTTAATCAATTTCCTGGACACAAAACTCTTGCTTCATATAAACCGACTTATAACAGTTTATATGTATAAATTAAGTAGGGACGGTACAAAATCTCGTGAGACAAAGTTGCCACAAGAGAAAAATGATCTCGTGAGATTTTTTTCCCCAAGTGTTGGACAAAAAACGGTCATGTGTCGGTGAGTCACGTCTCTTACAGTTCCAAAAATCAACACTAGAATGGAAACAAAACTATGAAATCAAATAAATAAAAAGTTGTGAGGCCAGAATTGGAAACTGAACCGTGAAAATTTATATATTAGGGATTATGTCCAAATCTCGTCTCGTGGAAATTCTGTCTCTTCCCAACCCCTAAATTAACTCATGCTTTAAAGTTTTTTTTAGTCTTATTCCTAAAACAGACGAACATCTTTGCTTCACAATAGTTCTTATTTCACTAGATTTAAACTGAAGAAAACCTCTTAATTTAAAGTGACTAATTCTTAAATAAATGTCCAAAACAAACATGTTGACGCTGACAAATGTACTCAGGCCTATTTTAGAAGAAATACATGACATTTAGATCTAGAGTCTTGTTCCGCTGTTGTGACACTTTTACCAATCAGAATAACAATCCAATCATTGTTCCTGATCGATCCCAGACTGGACTCATTCAGAGAGCTACACATATCAGTCTGGCGAGAGGTTAGAAGAATGAAGCGCTCACCGTTGATGTCGGCCTTCTCAAACCGAACCCAGATGACCTTCTCTTTTTCGTCAGTAGGAGGCGCTCCAGTATAAGCCTGAACATAAACAATAAAAAAAAAAGAGTTTTGAGTCACCACAATCACCACACCGAAAAACCTGCAAATAAAAATCTTGCATAAAAAAAAAACAAAACACACTTGGAAAATTACATCTATAATTTGTACCGAACTACCAATTAAAGGTGGATAATAAGGCAAAGTCACATTTTGGTTTAATCACAATTATCTTGCACCATAATTACTTAGATCCACCTAAACTTCACCCGCCGTAATAGAAGCAGACCAACAGAAATTTTGGATAGCACGTGTCCATCCAAATCTATAATTACTTAAAGGTTGTATGGAGGATTTTTTTTTTAGTTTAAAATTGTCATTGAAAGTTTAAAATACCATTACAGAGACGCAGCAGCCTTTTAATTATGATGACCGAAAAAAAAAAGAAAGAATGAAAATCTATGAGTTGTGGACATAGTGAGGCCAGATAAACATCAGCCAATAGAAAACGAGGCTCCCTCTTTTTCTATTGGCTGTTAGGTTGTCAGTCAAACTCCCTACATTTTTAGTGTAACTGAGTCATCGGCGCTCGGGGATTACGTGGTTTATGCAGCGGTTCTTTGAGGCTTTTTTTTGTTGCAATGGCGGACGAGAATACACGACCAGCTCGCCGCAAAAGAAAGTCCGAAGGGTCTAAAAACTGACGCGTCGGTCGCTAAAATATTTCTAGGCAGGTCACTTCAACAGTAATTCTGAACATGCACTGGATGTAAACAAATGTGATTTCTAGAGTCACTGAGGAAGGTGGTGTCACACATGCACAACATTTGAAAAAAGGACTGTCGCTGTATTTCGCTTCCCTTAAAAAATCCTCTATACAACCTTTAAACGTGAACTGTGTAACTGTGTGTGCTTCTCTCCATGGAGATGTTGCCTAGAATGTTCTTCTATTATTATTTTTTCATTTGTTTAAATCACTGTGTATAGTGTACACTATTTTTTTTAATAAATCAGGTACTGTTGCAGAAGTTGGGAGATGGAAATGAGAGAGCAGTTTGTCTAGCTGTATGATTGTGTACGTGCATGTGTATATTTTATAACGTAAACGTAACGTCTATTGTATTGTATAGTACTGTGTTGTATTATGTATTACTAATGTTTGTGTTTTTAGGACCAATTCGAAAACGAGACGGCATATCTCGAGGGGCATTCCAATAAAATAAATACCGTATTTTCTGCACTATAGGGGGCTCTGGATTATAAGGCGCACTGTCATCAAATGGTCTATTTTCTAACTTTTTTCACAAATAAACCACACCGGACTTTAAAGGAAACACAACAGTGTGATGGGTGAGTGGTTTTTGTTTGTTTGTTCGTTCACGGTGACTCTGGGCTTTGTTCAGTTGTGGCGTGTAGGGAGGGTGTGTCTGGGACCAACGGATTGTCGCCGTGTGTTCGCACTGACTCAGTTGTTCAGTCGTGTCTAGAAGCGACACGTTGCGCTCGCTTTTTCAGTTCGTTCCTCCGTTCCGTTCCTCGTCGGCGTGGAGTGATGAGTGTGTCTGTGGGTGTGTTTCGCCGTGCGGTCGCTGTCTGCTCCGTGTGTTTGCGGCTTTGTAGTTTACTGAAGTCGTACTGGGACAGCCGAGTGGATTCGTGTACAGGGCGCTCTGGATTGTGGGGCGCGCGGTCTTTTTTTGATGGGGTTGGAGGCTTAAGAGCGCGTCTAATAGCCCGGAAAATACGGTAAATAAATGTTACACTTGTTTATCTCTCCGGGAACAACAGGTAACCCCCGCAGTTACATGTCAGATCTGTGTAAAAGCGAGCTCACTCGTAGTACTAATTCAAGTTTTTAACTACTCAATAACAACCCATGTTATTGAGTAAATGCAAGGTGGAGATGTTTAAATGCCATACATAACAATAACACCAGAAAAGTGACCCAATTCACATTTAAGATTTACAAGTTGGGAGCAAAAACTACAGTAAAAAGGATTCAAAACCATTGTCTGGACGAGTACCGTTGAAATACAGTAAAGACTTACCTGAGGAACCACATCTTGAAGGAATGTCACCACACTCTCCATGTACGACTGCTCCCTGAAACACACACCGTATGATCTAAATTAAGTGAAAGTGTAACAAGGATTGATATTTCGCTACAGACAAATAACAAACGATAAAAAAATGCAAAAACGCAAAGAATGATAGTGCCGAAACTATTGCAAAGGAGAAATTCAGTTCTGTAACTGGACAAAAGTTTTAACATTTGAACGGAAATTGAGGTCTCAGGCATCATCTATTTATAACTCCATCCTCAGACCAAAATCAAAATAAAGATAATAATAATAGTCTGTTCACGCTCAGGAGGTGTGAAAGCGTCAGGCGTCTGAATGAGTAAAAATGCAACGATATCCAAATTTCTTCATACAATATCATCACAATATTGTAATAAATATCGTACCGTGAGCTGCATATTTTGTAGAGGCTAACAAAATTGTAAAAGAAAATTGTAATATATAATTCCTTGTCCTTTAAAACTGCCTTGACAAGCCTTAGGTTCTGTTATAAACCCGAAGAGTAAAGATTTAAAAGTGCTTAATAAGTTATTTCATTGTGTAAAGTGGACCGAAACAGAGCAAAGGATCATGGTCTATGTAGTTCCCTCTCTTTCTTTTTGCTTAAAGTCATTCTTATGGTGCGGAAATAGCTAAGAAACTTGAGATTCGACATATTGTGATGGTCCAGGATATTATCATGAGAGTTTTATTAGTCCTATGCTAATTTGACTCATGTAGGCGTGTTAGTTTCAGAGTAGTTTCAGTGTCGTTAGCTCCTGTCTGACCAGAACTGAAGAAGCAGCTTGGGTGATCTGTGAAACGTTTTCGATAACAAAAGACTTTTTGTTCAGTGACAGAATTGAATTTCTCCTTTGCGATGGATCCAACCTGAACGACTGAAGGATTACACAAAAATACTGAAACTACTGTATTCTGGCCTATTTGTACGATTGTTCTTCAGCATTGGTGGATTTTGGGATGGGTGTACATTTTTTTATACTGGTTGTGTTGTCGATGATCACAATTTTTGGTACTGCACATTTTGGCGATGATCACAATTATATAAAATGTCCCACTAACGATTATTGTGTTCCCTTTTAATCATATATTATAGTTTATTGTCCAATCTCTAGTCTGTAATTATTTATTTATGTTCTTTGTCAGTGTTTGTTTTGCCTTTGTCACTAGTAGGTGGTGTCTTAAAATCGTTAAAAAACAATGAAAGAAAAAAAGAAACTACTTTATGCCACTGATTAAGATTCAAACAAAGCGAGTTAATCCCAGTAAACCATTTTAAATAGAACGTATCATTAAACGGCCTGAGCTGCAACAATACACAAAGTTTCACAGTCAAAGTTTGGACTCACCCTCATTCAATGTTTTGTTTTGTTTTTTCTTACTACTTTCTACATTTTATATACATACAGAAGAACTGAAATAATATCACGCAAGATATATGGAATTATTTATTAAAGAAAAAAAAAAACAAATAACTACTGAAACATTTTTCAACAAAGAAAAAGAAGGGTAATTTGAGGATTTTGAAATAAAAAAAAAACCTAAATAATAGTGCATGTCATAGTTATCTTGTGATTAATCGCAAATTAATCTCACATTTTTGTCTGTTGAATAATCATTTTAAGACTCTTATCAACAGAAAAGTGGATAGGCTTTGTGGAAATGTGTTTTTTTTTTTTATTTTTTTATTGCAACAGTGTTTGTGGCCGTGTTTGTCTGCAGTCTATGACCCCAAGGCTGCTGTACAGAGGCCGATGACATCACCTCACAGCAGTTTGTTTACACGTGGCGCTTTAGCTGAGAAAATAAGTCCAGCGGCACAAATATCGATTAAATAGTGAGACAGATATGAGTCCTGCCGCGATACGCTCCTCTGTGAGTTTATGGAGATAAAAACAGAGCAGAGCAATGAGAACAGACGGAGACGAGAGCCTGCAAAACTTCTGTCTCTGTCACAGTTCTTATTTATTGAAGGTCAGCGCGGATTCGCTGTATGATTTGGAGCGGATTTTATTTAGCGTTTTCCTCATTTGAATAACATCAGCGCACCTGACAGGGCTTCTCATTTTCGTACAAATTGTTTTGCTTCCTGTTTACAGCCGGATCCTGTAGTTTTTCTAATGCTACAGCAGTGGCTACAGCTTTTGAAAAAAACTACCGTATTTTCCAGACTATAAGTCACTCCGGAATATAAGTCGCACCAGCCAAAAATGTGCAATGAAGAAGAAAAAAACATATAAAAGTTGCACTTTTTGGGGAAATGTATTTTATAAAATCAGAGACCAGGAAGCGAGATTTCATCTTGAAAGGCAAGTTCTAGTAATAAAAACAGAATAGAGAACAACAGGCTGAATAGGCGTTAATATGTTAACGTAACATATTAACAGTTCTTAAGATAATTATAACATAAACAACAGAACAGAACAAGTTTACCAAACTCTCCATCTCACTCCAAATCACTAAATCCATTCAATTCTTCATCCTCGGTGTCACTTCTGCGCGACCTCTGGAGATAAACGATAGATCCATGATGTAAACTGAGCGCCGCTTCCTCTTCTGTGTCGCTGTCGTCAGACTCAGCATCAGTTCCAGTTAGAATTATTCGGGTCTTTCTGAATCCTGACAGGATGGTTTCGCTGTCACTGAAGTCCAGGCTTTGTCCATCCATCCAGTGACTTCAGGAAAGTTGCATGGTGCCCTCTCTTGAAGCTGTGTTCTCCATCTGCGTTTTCTGCCGGTCCCTCACAAGTTTCTCGCTCACTCCAGACTTTTTTTCTGCTGCTCGATTGTCATTTTCGACTGCAGATTTCACTATTTGCAGCAGAACAGAGGCTTTTTCTACAGGAGACAGTATAAGTCGCAGGACCACCAAAACCATGAAAAAAAGTGACGCTTATAGTCCGAAAAATACGGTAGTTTTTGCGATAAAAAACTCAACAGCATTAAAATAGTTTTTGCGTTAACTCATTAGTAACACAATATTTTTCACAGCACTAGTAAATAAATATACAAAAAAAAATTGATATATATATGGCTACATAATTCCATACGTCTGACTTCATATATTTGACATTTTCTGTGTGTATATCAAATGTAGAAAGTAGTAAAAATACAGAAAAAAAAGAAAATTATGAACCAATATTTAGCCAGAAAAGAGACTTATTCAACGCTCTACAGCTTAAATGGTCTCGTATTACAACTAAAATAACAAAAATCTCCCCAGTTTTGCAAAGAAAATATGAATTACGATAAATATTGAGTCTGAAAAGCTTTTATAAACTGAACAGCGAGATAGATAAAGTTATTATTGTGACACTGATTTTGTTTGGTCAGAGGTTCAATAATGGCAAATAATAAGAAATTGTAATGTTTCTTTTCACATGTTTTTTTTTTTTTTTTTTATATTGTGAGATACCTTTAAACAACAATAATAAAAAGAATAGAAACATGGTCCTTACGTAACAGCCTGGGCTCTCACCACCACTCCTCCTGCACAGCGGCTGGGTCTGCGCGGAGAGTCTGTGGCCATTTTCACCTCGGAGAAAAACCTGAAGAGAAACAAACAAATAAAGTTAATACAACACTAGCTTCACCTGCCCTGGGGCAAACTGACAGAGACATGGCATAAGATCCCGTGAGACCAAATTACCACAAGATCGAGCACACATGAGGGAAATGGTCTCGTGAGATTTTTTTCCATGTGTTTACAATTTGATTGAACAAAATGGGGTTGAGTTACATCTCTTGTAGTTCCAAAAAGCTGTACTAGAGTGGAAACAAAAATATAAAATCAAATAAATAAAAAAATGTGAGGCCAAAATCAGAATCTGTAAACAAAATCGCAAAACTTATATATTTGGAATTCCGTTAAAATCTCGTCTTGTCTCGTTCTCTTGGACCTAATATCGTATCTTGTCTTGTCTTGTCGAAATTATGTCATGGCAAATCTAAAAGCATTAAAGGTGACGTGCGATGCCCAAAGACACAACAGTAACTGGGATAAGTAGGAGATAACAGTGCGTGACAGTTTCTTCTCTTTAATTTCTGATGTTTATTTTTTGACATGCACAAAAATGCATTCAATTAAAGGTTGTATGGAGGATTTTTTTTTTGTTTCAAATTGTCAGTGAAAGATTAAAATACCATTACAGAGACGCAGCAGCTTTGTAATTATGATGACCAAAAAAAAAAAAAGAACGAAAATCTATCAACTGTGGACGTAGTGAGGCCAGATAAACATCAGCCAATAGAAAACGAGGCTCCCTCATTTTCTATTGGCTGTTAGATTGTCAATCAAACTCCCTAGTATAACTGACTCGTCGGAGCGCGGGGATTACGTGGTTTACGCAGCGGTTCTTAGAGGCATTTTCGAACTGTCGCTTCCTCGCATTTCGCACAAAGTTTTGTCGCGACGGCGGACGAGAATCCACGACCATTTCGCCGCAAAAGAAAGTCCGTTTTTGAGGTCGCTGAAAGAAGAAGAGAAGTGGAAAAGTAGCAAAGCCAAACTGAGGTGATTCTTGGAGATCTCGTCCAGCGATGGCGCGACCGAAGCAGACGAAGGGTCTAAAAACTGACGGTCGCTGAATTACTTCTAGACAGGAAACTTCAACAGTAATTCTGAATGCGCACAAGGACTGTCGCTGTATTTCTCTTCCCTTAAAAAAATCCTCTATACAACCTTTAACATGTTTCACTGCAGCTTTGCTCTGTTTTGTACTTATCTGTGAGTTAAAATCGTTTTTATTTATACTGGTTGAGTGTTATTGACTGTCACTGTGCAGCACAACTGGTCATTTGGGCCTGACAAAGTGAAAATCTATTGGGAATGAGTTGGTCCAGTCAAAAGCGGTGTGGAGTGGAGGAATCTGGTCAAACACTACAAATACTACAAATACTACAAATACTAATACTGCTATACTAATACTTAGGGTCACAAAAAGCAGTTCTACAGCAAAAATATTAAATAAAGTAGCATTTAAAACAGTTAGAATAAAACTGGGTACTGGATTGCACAATGTATTTATAGTAAGTAATGTAAAAATCTCGTCTTATTTCATTCTCGTAGCTCCAGTTTCATCTCGTCTGTTGGAAATTGTATCTTGTCCGATCTAGGGGTGTGCAAAAATATCAGAATATCAATATATCGTATCATTTAATGTGATAATACAGTGTTGATATCATGGGCTACTGTACTGATACATCGTCAAAAGTATATATATATATATATTTTTTTGGGGGGGATATTTAAAGTAATTGTTTTGTTACAGCTACAGTTTTGTTGCTTGTTCAGAGGAAGGAAACGTGTTTATGCGAAACATTTGACATTTTCACTGTTTTGATGATTAAAATGTTTGTGTTTCATATGAACTTTGCACAAGAAGAAGTGGTTTAACAAAGACTTTTAGTATCACAGCCACGATTTAGCCTTTATTTTTTACTGAACCCCATCAAATCGATTTGAAATGTATTGTATCGAATCGTATCGAAACGTAAGCCCACTGTATTGACAAACAAACAAAATAATTTAGTAAAATATATCAAAAAATACTCTTGGCGATATATCGATACAGCAGCCAACGATATTGATACTGTATCATCACATTACGGTATATCGATATTTTGATATTTTTGCACTACTGACACAAATTTGCTGGATTCAATGGTAACAACTGTTTTTTGACATACCTTCCTGAACTTTGTATAAAAAGGAGGCAAAACACCGAAATAAGATGCTGCGTCACTACTGGTAAATACATTTTTGACTCAATTATAATACAAATTGTAGGGATGTAACGATATCTAAACCCCGCGATACGATAGTTTCACGATATGCACCTCACGGTTCGTTTTATTGCGATACTTTGTGGAGGCTTACAAAATTTTGAATATGGAAAAGCCTTGAAAGAGTTACAATTTAAAAGTGCTTAATAACAGTTATTTCTTCATGTAGTCTGCACCGACAACAGCAAAGGATCATGGTCTATGTAGTTCCCTCTGTTTTTTGGCTACTGCTGCACCAAGGCAAGGCAAGTTTATTTATAAAGCACAATTCATGCACAAAGTAACTGACAGATTAAGAAAGATTAAAATCACAAAAAAGACTATTCATTTAAGCGAAAAGACTTGTGATGTGATATATAGATGCATCAAGAATTTCGGACTTCCGGTCATGACGCAATTCATACTGGGAAGGATCGTCCGAAAAAGTGAGCATCAAACCTCCATGTTTGTTTTCCCAGTGGGATGCGTCTATTGACAAAGTCGATCTTTTTTAGTCTTTTGAACCATATCACTTTTGTTTCTGGTCCTGATATTGTCATATTTTAGTTTTGGGATTCGGACATCGTTAATTGTGTGGTTGTTGGATCCTGACAGCGGAAAACGGCTCGAGAAATTTGTTAGCAAACTCCATAAATGCAAAAGGGAATCAGATGTGTGTGACTGCAAACCTCTGTTCAAACTGTTTCCCTTCCCAGCGGAATTGAAAAATAGTGAAAGGTGAAGGCGATGGGCAGCTTTGATCCACAGGAAGAACCAAAAAGGAAACATTTGTCTGCCTAAGAAATCATCCCGAGTTTGCAGAGAACATTTTGTATGTGGAGCGACAACAAAGCAAAACCCCGATCCCTCACTCAACCTCGGTTACAAATTTAAAAAGTTCACGCCAAAGTGAAAGACCCCAGCTGTTCACCAGGAAACAACTTCCACTGCAAAACAACCAAGACGTGATATTGCTGTAAAACCACAAGAGCAAGAAAGTGCAGCTCAGTCTGTTTGTCTTCTGCACCTCTCGATTAATAAAACGGGATCCCACTTTGATGTCGCTCCACATACAAAATGTTGGCTGCAAACTCGGGATGATTTAGGCAGCCAAATGTTTCCTTTTTGGTCCTTCTTGTGGATCAATCCTGCCCATCGCCTTCACTTTTCACTATTTTTCAATTCCGTTGGGAAGAGAAACAGTTTGAACAGAGGTTTGCAGTCACACACATCTGATTCACTTTTGCATTTATGGAGTTCGCAAACAAATTTCTCGAGCCGTTTTTCCGCTGTTAGAACATCCAACAACCACACAATTACGATGTCCGAATCCCAAAACTAAAATATGACAATATCAGAACCAGAAACAAAAGTGATATGGTTCAAAAGACTTGAAAAGATCGACTTTGTCAATAGACGCATCCCACTGGGAAAACAAACACGGCAGTTTGAGGCTCACTTTTTCAGAAAATCCTTCCCAGTATGCATTGCGCGATGACCGGAAGTCCGAATTTCGTGATGCATCTATTGTGACGGTCCACGATATTATTGTGAGCCTTTTGACGATACAACATCACGAGATTTCGGTTATTGTTGCATCCCTAACAATTTGTCATAACATTTAAGTATATAAACTTGACAAACTTCTCAATGTGACTTTTCTTATTCTGAAAACGAAGTATCTGTCCCACTCCTGCTTGGGTTAAATAGTACAGCTGGTTCATCCTTGCTTCAGAGGAATGGGTCAAATGCAGAGGACAAATTCTCTTATGCAACAAAACAATAGAAGTAACCACTGTAGTAACATTGGAGCTTCACTTTCAGCTGTTATTTTATCACTTCTTATGGCAAATACCCCGCCTATTTCTTGAATGAAGCTGGATTCTTTGCCACAAACGATATCAGGGCAGATCATGCGTGCACAGAAGCGATACGACCCAAATAACGATGCACATGCTACTGTTTTTAGCCTCTCCTCTGCTTTAAAGCTGGATTTGTATCGCAATGACAGGGATAACCGCGCTTTTAAACCGCAAAATACGTGAACCAACGAGGGTATGACATTATTAAAGAGTGTATTTTAGTGATAAACTCGTAAAACAGCCGTCAGGGTCGAATAAGAGAGCTAATTGTTTGCTAAAGTTACTGTCGGATGACGCGGATCGTGCGGCTAGGCGTGTTAGCTTTAGCTGAAAAAACGAGCATTATTACCAAAACGCTGGCGATAACGAGCTCAAACACAAGACGTACTTCAAAACGTAAATGTGACACGTTCGTAAACTTACAGATCGACGTGCAGGACGGTGACAAACGCGTAAACTTCAGCGGTGGCAGAAAAGGCAGAGTCTCACAACAACAAAACAAGACTAGATTTGCGGAACTGCGTGCAAGCGGTGCAGCCAATCATAGCGCGCCAAAAGTCCGCCCCAGCCAATCGGCGCGCGGCGGAGGCGGGGTTTAAGGGAACGTCATTTATTATCGCACGACACGTTTTTAAAGCCCAGTGTCTGAACCACGTTTTTTTTTTTTTTTTTTTTTTTTTTTAAATTAATATGTAACTTAAATTATACAAGACAAAAAAAAGAAAGTAATAATAAATTAAATAAATTAAATAATAATAATAATAATGTAACATTAACCAAAATATTGTGATATAGTATTGTCAAAAGTCTCACAATAATATCATAAACCATCACAAATATATTGAATTACAAGTTCCTTTGCTTAAATCCATTATAGAAGTAACTTAAAATATACAAGACAAAAAAAGTAATAATAAATGAATAAATAAATAAATAAATAAATAAATAATAATAATAATAATAATAATAATAATAATAATAACCAAGATATTGTGTGTAAGTTACTTAAATTTACAAGACAAAAAAGTATTAATAAATAAAAACAATACATACATACATACATAAATACATGAATAAATAAATAATAATAATAATGTAACAATAACCAAAATATTGTGATATAGTGTCATCAAAAGTCTCACAATAATATCGTAGAGCATCACAAATATATTGAATTACAAGTTCCTTTGCTTAAATCCATTATAGAAGTAACTTAGAATATAGAAGACAAAAAAAGTAATAATAAATAAATAAATAAATAATAATGTAACAATAACCAAAATATTGTGATATAGTATTGTCAAAAGTCTCACAATAATATCGTGGAGCATCACAATATATTGAAGTTCCTTTGCTTAAATCCATGGGTTTATAGAAGTAACATCTTATAACAATTAGAAACTACATATCCCATGATTCATTTCAACACAGACAGCATGAAGAAATATGTTTTTTACTTGAATTCTTGGGATTATGACGGAAATATTTCACACTGAAACTTAATCGAGGTATTTTAAAAGTAAATAAGTTCAAATAAGTTCAAGTAAATAAGATTTGTGTCTTGAAAATTCAAAATTGTTGCTTTTTTTGTTATAATGTCATAAAACTATTAGCATTTAGGTCTGCTCATCACTTAATCATTGTAAATATATTATGTTAGCAGATTTTTGCCTCCATTCCAGAATTTTTAACATTCTGATGACAGAAGATTTGAAAGGGTCTGTTTTGTAACTAATAAGACTCATGTGTTTTGGGAATGCTCCTACACAGCAGAAAGTGGAGTGTTAAAATTGACTCTCCCAGAATCAATTTTTAACATTTTCTCAGGGTTTATATGAGTTCAGTCTGTTCTAGAGTTAATTTAACATTTTTGGAAATGTTAATTAAGTAACACTGGGCCAAAGTTTCTGTTTAACCCCAAAAATCAAGAGTTAATGTTAATGTTTATTAGAGTAAACAGATAACACTTTGTAGAGTTTTCCTGATTTAGCTAAACAACACACAGAAGAGTTTTATTTTTACACTTTATTTTAGTTAATTTAAGATGAAATTATGACCAAAACTGGTTCAAACTGGTCTTCTCTCGCGGGAGTTTGAAGTCATGGTGGGAGGAGAATTAGGTGAAATTGAATTAACTTCAACCATCAACTCTGGCAAATAACCCCAACTCCAACCCCCATTTAACTTTCAAGTAGTTAAAAATAATACTTTTTGTGTTAAAAAACAACTCTAAAATATTTTATTCTAAAATTTTAACCCTCAGTTTTTGCTGTGTAGGGTCAAATCTGGAATGACATATTATTGTTTGTGAATAGAAAGCTTAATACAAACGTATAATTTAACATAAAACATGTACTTTTGTGGTGTCTTTGAGAAAGATATTCCTGCAAAAAAAAATATGTATGTGTTGAACTTAATTCTAATCTTATCAAAATTTCATATCCATTGCTATAAATTTTCTAGTCAGAAACCCACATTTATTGTATTTCAGTCCCTTTTGTCCTCTTGTATAAATTCTCTAAATTATTGCACAAATCCCAAAGCCGTGGAAACAAAAGCACTTTGTATGGAGTATGGAATTTGAAATATAAAATGTGAATGTATTTATTATTTTTCTACATTTGTATTGTCCATAATGCAGATATTGCGCACGCTGAGCTCAGGGAATATGAATTCTTAAGCCTCTAGCAATGTTATTTTCATAACATTGTATATTACATTGTATATCTTGAATAAATAAATAAAGCCCTTTTTTTTTTCTCTGTTTTTATGTTTTAATTGGTTATTTTATATTATCATTTGGATGCATACCATAACATTCATTCTGTTTTTCAATAATTTATGTTGAGGTATATTTTGGCTGTTAATAAATTTAGAAATAAAACAATCATCAGCCTAATACACACATCAAAAAGTGTGCTTTGTGTAAAATATTAAATTGTAATATTCTATTAATCAAATAACAGTTGATCATGTTTGTTGATTTACTATTACTAGAATATCATTATGGAATTTTAAAACAAAGCTGTATTTAAAGTTTTTACTTTTTTGTTTAGGTTAATTTGTTTAAAAAAATACTCTTACTTTTTAAAGTGACAACAACCATTTATATCGATAAGAGCTGATAAAAACTAATATAGTTGTTGGTTGTTTTGATTTGTAAAAGTCCAGCACATGTTTCCTGCTGTAAACAGGCTCCACCTTCAGGAGACTCGAGTGTCATTTGTCCGTCACGCACTGAAAGCCGCTGAATCGAGCTTTTTCATTTACGCTGATCTTTGCAAACTGAAATGGGCGACACTGACAACGCTGCTCACGCGCTCAGGAACCACGTGTCTGGCGAACTTTCCAAATCGGCCGTGGCGCCGCTGGACAGAGTCAAGATTCTCCTACAGGTGCAGCACGTGAGTCTGCAGATCTCACCTGGACGCCGCTACGCAGGTATGACACGGATCTCAAGATTATAAAGTTAATCCATAGTCATAATGCAGTCGTAAAAAGTGATAAATGTGACCACATCCGAAGTCATTTCAGTTTAATCTGTGCTGCAAAAAAAAGCACAATTTATCCAGAGTGTTTATATCTGTTTGTTTATATCGTCTCAACTTTACTTTATCATTCAAAAACTTTGATTGCATGAACCACGGAACGTACTGTGACATGTTAGATAGAAGAAATAAAGGATGACGAATCATTTATGTTTATGTTTATGGTAACACTTTATAATAACTACACCTTACTTAGCCTTAATAAAGCATGAACAAAGACTTAATTAATAATGAACAAAGATTTAATTAATAATGATTCATGCTTAGTAAATGCTTAATAAAGCATAATTCGTCTTCACTTTAGAAAAGCTCTCAAAAAGTCTTAACTAACAGATAACAGCTGCCTGAATTATCATTGCATTGCATTATTAGTAAATCATTCTCTCATATCTTACTAATCATTAATAAATGCTCAAATGGTTAGTTCATGAGTAATTAAGTATGAAATAATTATGAGTAAATATTTACGGCACAGGCAAATTAAGTGCAAGTGCTAATTAAGATAGTACTTAAGTAGTTACTAAGTGTGAATTATTATAAGTCTTTGTTCATTATTAATTAAGTCTTTGTTCATGCTTTATTAAGGCTAAATAAGGTGTAGTTATTATAAAGTGTTATGTTTATTTGTTTATTTATCAGGAACAATGCACATAAAAACACAGACCGACACAAAGCGGTAATATGTTTGTGTCAGGTTGTAGAAGAATTGCTGATTTCCCCCTTCAGTCCCTGGACAGGCTGTCAGATTCGAGTCAGTATTTTTAGGATTTGAGACTTGACTAGATGAAATGGACTAAGACTTGGGACTCGACTTGGACTTGAAGGTCAGTGACTTGGTACTTGACTCAGACTTGAAGCCTGTGACTTGAGAAGACTTGAAACTTCTCCTAAAAATCTATGTTTTTAGAAAATACTTTTCTCTCTCCAGTTTACAGGGACAAACTGGAACATGTCCGTCCCACTTCTGTTTGTTACTTTGGATGTAACTGAAGTACTGTGATGTGGTATCCTCAAAAGTACTACAGTAATATAGAGTACAATACAGTAATATTCAGTAATATTCAGTACATTGCAGTAAAACAGAGGGAACCACCTAGACCAGGGGTGTCAAACATATGGCCCGGGGGCCGGATCCGGCCCTCCAAGGCCTTTAATCTGGCCCTCAGCTGATTTTCTACTAAAATATTTTAATTATATTTTCTATTAAAATATTAGTAATAGCAGCATCTCCACCGTCTCTCTGTACATGGCCCCTCCCACCAGAGCAGCACAGATGAAGACGTCTGGTCTCCCTAACAAAAACAAAAACCAAAAAGAAAAAAACAAAACCCAATATATTCACTTTTACACACGCACACGCACACACACACACACACACACACAAACACACACAGACACACACACACAGACACACACACACACACACACACACACAGACACACACACACACACACACACACACACACACACAGACACACACACGACACACACACACACACACACACACACACACACACACACACAACACACACACACACAGACACACACACACAGACACACACACACACGCACACACACACACACACACGCACACACACACACACACACACACACACACACACACACACACACACACACACACACACACCACACACACACACACAGACACACACACACACACACACACACACACACACACACACACACACACACAGCACACACACACACACACACACACAGACACACACACACACACACACACACACACACACACACACACACACACACACACACACACACACACACACACACACACACACAGACACACACACACACACACACACACACACCACACACACACACAGACACACACACACACACAGCACACACACACACACACACGCACACACACACACACACACACACACACACACAGACACACAGACACACACAGCACACACACACACACACACACAC